AGAGAGAGAGAGAGAGAGAGAGAGAGAGAGAGAGAGAGAGGCAGAGAGAAAGAGAGAGAAAGAGAAGAAAGAAAAAACAAAAACAGTTCTTTCTTGCTCTTTTTGCGACGCATTCGTTGGAATGGATAATTTCGTTTCATTTTATTCCTTGCTTTCTCCTCGGAAATTCCTTGCCATAGAAACTCCTTCGAGTGCGTGGCACGCACTGATATTGTTCGACTCGCCTGCGCAGGAGGGTGGCGGCAGCGGCTTCTCGTGGTCCAACATGCTGGGGATGCTGATGCAGATGTTGTTAGGACAGACTGGTGGTGCGACTGGACCGAGCAAGAATGAAATAGACGAGGGCGCGTCGGCGAGCCCGTGGGCCAATCTGTTATCCGTGGGTCTTAGGGTTCTCACGGCGTTGTTGGGTGGGCCTCAGCAGCCGGTAGACGGTATTGACAAGGTGGATAATCAGAGCAGCCCTATGCAGGTAAGTGAAAATGAGCGTGGCATATGAGTCTTACCGTTATTTACCGCTACATACTGACGAGAGACGGACGAGAGCTGTACTTGGAATCGGCTGTGTTCCTTTTACGTTAATTGCATCCATGTGGTAGCTAGTGACTCGCTGTTGGCACGTAGTACACACGTAGATACCGGGGAGAAATTTCGCGATCCACAAGAGTAATCCTGCCTCGTGCCGAGGTCGGGATTGGTGTGTCAGTCGAACAAGTTGCAGCTCCGCGCGTTTAACGCGCTAATCCTCGCGTTATATCTCCATTTCTATAGCTCTCGCGAATAAAAGAAGGTATAAATAAATCCCTCCCTCTCTTGCATTATATTCGCATGCATAATATCTGTAATTTGTCACTTTGTTGTTGTATCGTGCGAAAAAGATTTCGTTTGGTTTAAATCCAAAGATCCGCGCGCGGCTGCTTACGGTCACGAGCCACCTCGTACGATAACTAGCGAAGAATGCGTCAAATAATTGTCCCGGTTGGACCATTATTTTCGCGCACTTGCGTCACACGATCTTTACGTTTTCTACACAATGTAATTTGTTCGCTTCGCGACCGGAAACTCGCCGACGTTTCACTTCACTTTAAAAGAACAATCGAGCCGGTGACTGGAAAGAGGGACGCGCGTAAGCGAAATTTGTACTCTCACAATTTACTTACTTTGCATATACACTTGCACATGCATACACACACACACACATTCGCTCATACATTTTCTGTAAATAATTTATCAAACTGTGGACTCTCTTAGCGCACATGGCTGGTGTCGGTTGTTTAGGAAATTTTGACTGCGGTGCTGGGCGCGTTTCTAGGACAGGGCAGAGATCCCGAACAGGTTGCTGTAATGGCGAAAAACGCTTCCGAGGTTAGTACGAGACCACGAACGAACGAACAAACGTGCAAACTCGACGATGAATCCTCCTTTCGAGCTTTCGATTTTTTCTACAGCCTTCGAGAATGAAATGCGTGCTTTATCTCATGTGCCTGCTTTTGTCGAGTACATTCGAAGATTGTATCGAATGCTCCCACGACAGTTGTTACTAATCAATTCGTATTTGGTATATACATATATATACATATATAGTTGTGTATTGTAATCATAATATCATTGTAATTTGTGGTGATAGCGATGGTTCGCGCGTGTATTTATACCGTTATCTGCTTATTTACCTTCTCCTCTCAAGCAATGCAATTTGATACACATCTTACATCTCCGCTTATTCCTGTTATCAAGCAGTTCATCAGCATAGTCATCAATCTGCTGGATGCCCTCAAGACATCATTCTCCCATCGTTCTTTGACAGCTCGCTCATTAGGAAGACGCGATACTGTCTCCGAGGCTGCGATAGCATCCATCTCTATGTTGAAGGTAAATCACTATTTCGTTTCCCGCTAATCTCTTGAATCCGATTATAATTCCAAACTCGCAACTCAACAGGGTTACATGAGATCCGTCAAGTCCTTCAGTTACGTTGGCCGCGCCGAAGACGAGGGCCATCGCGGATGCGCCGAAAGAGCTCTTTGCGAAGCTAGCGCCGAGTGCATTGCTGATACGCAAGGCCCGTCGTCGATCTTCTGCCAACTCGGATCGTGAGTGATCTCATCGCAGAACGAACCATCGAAAATTCCAATTTCCAATGCGCGCTCAAATTGTAGCTGATTCGATCTTTCCACAGGTACGCGACGAGTTACCTTCTGCAAAGGCAGAGCGGCGTCGGCTTCGAAGCCTTGTACGAGGCAGGACGACGCGGTCGTACGGGAGAGGACTGTAGAACCCTCTTCATGGACTGCAACGCCGTATGAACACGACGTCCATCTTCGCACGGCGTTCCGTCGAGCATGGCTTAGACACTGTGACACTTTGGCATTTTCTCTAACTGAGAGCGTTGCAATTAGAAACAAGACTCGTGATAAACTCATGATGAGTGGCGACCAGAGGTATATAGATGTCACTCCGATTTACATTTCGTGCTGGAATGTTTTCATCGATATGAAAGAGCTACTTTCGAATCTGATATCACCATTATAGCTTGTTACTAGTGAACGTAAAAATATGAAGATCTGCGAACGCATCTTGCCACGCGAATGGTCTAGCATTGCGAGTCTCGTAATTCGATGGAAGTTTCCAATGTCTCACGGTCTGGGCTACGCTAGAATGGACGTGTTAGGTTAAATCGACGTGACCGCGAGTGCTCAAAGAGCGCGCTGAGCCGGGATTCGCATCGAATCTCGTGGATAGCTCGGCAACCTCACGACTGATTCTTCCTTTGACGCTTCAGTCGAGCGGCGAATTCGGCGTGTCACGTGCAAAATAATACAGATTCATAATTCCAACGAGTCCTGTGACCGACGTTGCGAACAAACTAAGCGTTTGATGGTCCAAATCTCCCTCCTCTCTCTATCTCTCTCTTTCTCTCTCTGTCTCTCGATATACATAACTTGCAGTGAGAATTATGAATCCTCTTCGTATCAATCGCCGAGTTTCGCCACACGCCGATTATATATGATTCTAATACACACATACACACACACACACATATATATATATATATATATATATATATATATATATATATATATATTTATTTCTATTTATTTTTCTTTATGAGCGCGTATTTTTAATGTAGATGTAGTATCCGTGGTTGGGGCTCGATGTGAGTTCCGGTATTCTGGTATTTCGAATATGCGACGACAGTGATTATAACGATAGTAATGATAGCGGGAATTTTATCATTGATACTATTCATTTTGACGGTGCACAAAATTCGCACCGAAATTAATTTTATGTCAATTATCACGTTTCCATGATGAGAAATGAGGGTACAGTCCAGTTTTGTATCTATGACCTCAAAAACTCTTCAAATTGTATGACTTTAAAGTCTTATATTTAATATACAAGTTTACATGGAAACGTATATGCATCATGCGTTTCAATGTACACTGTATACGAAGCGTTATCAATAGGAAGATATTTAGGGAGGAAGACGCGCTTAGAACTGCCGGAGCAATAAGATCGGTAAATAAATAACGTGCTCTCGATGAGCTTCGTTCAAACATTGCTCTCGCTTCCCCGCAATGAACCAAGATTGTCCGAGACTGACTTTGAAATAAACTCTGATTTTTAGACGTATGACTCTTGTTTTATCTGTGTGATGAAAAGTTGAAGTGAAATTTACATACATTTATTTGAATTTGAAATTAAAGAATTGAAAAAAGTAAATGCGACCACGAAATTATCAGTCATGCGTTTCACGACAGAAATGATTGAACGAGTCTCATTAGCGAAGGACCTTCCCTATATAATATGCATGTTAATATCTCAGGATGTTGTATTATCACACACACACACACACACACACACACACACACACAGATGCACACACTGACACCCGCGCGCGCACACACACACACTCTCTCTTTCTGTTTCTCCCCTTTCCTCTTTTAGTATTCGCCTTAAATACACGTTAGAGAGAATCTCTTCTGTATATAGATATTACACATGTATAAGTATACGGGTGGAATTAACTTTCCGTTTATTCTTTTCCTTTATAATACTCACGTTATATATGTCGTCGTTCATTAGAGTGTAAACGATGTAGGTGTATGTATGCATGTGATTATATTACATCTTGAATACACCAATAAACGGCCTTTTCTTCTGATGTTATGCTAGACTGTATACGGAATGAATGATATTCTCAGGTCGTTTATGATCCACAATACGCTTCTCATTAACTAAAGAATTTGCGCGTCAGACCTACATGTCGTACAACTATTATTTGTTATATTACGTAGAGTATTTCGGTGTAAAATATTTATGGAGAAAAATTAACTCTAAATTGGTTGAAGTCTATCATATTGGACATTGATAACGGAATGGTGATAACGGAACAAGCTGTACATGTTTATGTACTTGCCGACAACATATGGAATATTTGGAAGTTATGATATCCGGGAAGATAAAGTTCCGGGTTTTGTACCGTTAACGAGCGTGAAGACTCCAGGAGCCATGACGGGACAGTAATCCGAAGTGTTGAGATGACTCTTTCTTATGGTGAAACAGTTTCGTACCGACTCTCGTCGGACGAAGAGTTCTCGAAACTGATTCAGTGTTATACAACGCGGAAATTCTATCGGTCCCTTCGTATTTTCTGCATCGAAGACGAACGAGGCAAGCACAACGCGATTTATAATTATTTATCCTCTTTCTTTATCTCTTTATAATATATGTAATTTATATATTTTTATGTGAGATATGTGTAATCATATAATCTTTCTATTGCACATATATTAACTTTTAAATTTACATGCAAAAGGGCATGAAGAGAGATATGTACATTTTCTTTCTCTGCTTATACATTTTATACTTTACAATATCACTTTTGATTTGTTCTTTACAATTTCACTTTTGATTAGCAAGATATATTGTTTCTCAGATATTACGAAAAAATGACGTTCAAATCTCTAATCAATCTTGCAAGCTTCGGGAAGCCTTCTTACACACCTATCGAACGATATCACGGTGATGGAGGTGGTTATCATCATCATCGATGGCGAGGGTACGCGATTGACATCGCTATCAGAATCTTGCAAAACAAGTGTCCTTTTTTCCTTCTCTTATTCTTCTACCTTCTCGAATTTCAGAAGCTCCTCTAAAGGGAAGGGTGGAAGTGGCGCAGCGCTGAGTGCGTTGACTTTGCTCGCTTTTTTGTTTCTCATAAACGTCATGCAGGTAATTGCACGAGCTATACATTATCGACGATTTATTAGTGACAAGCACGTCACTATATATTATCAATTAAAATTAAGTAGTGCAAGTAGCAACAATTAACTGCATATAAAATTTCTTCGTTATTTAATAAAAAATCTTTTCCATCCACTTTTAAGTTGTTTGCACTTGTCAACACATTCATTATTTTTCTGGTGTTCTTTTAGCAATCTCTGCAGGATAACAACTCGACGGCTACTTCAACTACTGCGGTGCTGTTGCGAGATACTGAGTTGCCGGTAATTTTGGACAATGGAGAGAGCAAAGATGCCAAGACAAAGGACGAGTTTTCACGTGTGACAAACTCTTACGATTTAAGAACGACGACAAAGGATCGTATATAACGTGTGGCAATCTTGTAGTCTCTCAATAGATTTTCTTTCAACTTCACTTTTCTATTAAAAAAAATAACTTATTTAATTATGTATACAAACTGAACGATTGTGTTATCAAATGATCAATAATCAACATAACGATTTGAAATAATTCAGACAATCGTCAAAACACACATAAACAGTTTATTTATTTTATTTTCCTCTGTTTTTGAACATGAAGTCGTTAAATGTATTATCGTCAATGTAACATTGTCGTCGTCGTCGTCGTCGTCATTGTTGTTATCGTCATCGTCGTCGTAGTCGTTGGCGTTATTTAAACGTATTCATTTAGCACTCGAAAATGTAGTTCCGTTCCTACAATTTTATTTACATAACATTAGAAACATTTAAATTTATACTTCATTTTGTTATTGTTTTACATTGCATGAAAAATAATCACGAACAATCATGTATTGCTAGGGGAATGGGCGATGTGGCGTTCTCTCGCATGCCGACATGTCCGAGGAGCCTCGAATTTTCTCGTCGAATGGCCAGAACGGCCAATTTCCTCGAGCATATCCGGCAGTTTAAACGAAGTACGTATGCCAAAACAATGGCGGACGATTTGCACTGTAAATGTGGCTGAATTTGACAGTATTGTCTTTAGTAAGCGTTTCGCTTACAACAAATTGCAGAGTACAGTGACTTTGTTTGTGATGTAACGAGCATATTGACAAAATTAATGTGAAACGTATGGAAATTAAACGATTGACGAGAAAGCAGACCATCCGCCGTTGCTCTGGTCTTTCTTGCTCTCTACGCTCGCCTAGAAAAGATTAGAAAAAGTATCACGGGTTTAATATTTTGTCGTAAGTCTTCGAGCTGTCGGAGGATAACCACGGGTCTCCTTCTTGATTAGTTTCGGTTAGAAACTAGGGAGGAAATCGCTGCGACTTCCGAGTTGCGCTATCCTCGCGAGAAAGAAGCGGTCGGGATGACGGATCCTTCTTGCTTTTTTCCATTTCTTGTTTTTCTCTTGTCTTCTCCTTTTTGTTTCTTCCCGCGATAGGTCGCCAGCAAGATCATATTTTGATGGAAATCTTGCAGACGACCATGAGCTCGAGAATTGTCTCCTAGGCGAAAAAGGGCACAGTTTCCTTCGAGTCGAAAGCGAGCGACGCTTTCGCAGAAGTCCAGTGAATTTTCACGCATACTAGTCGACTCTTTTGGTAAAATGATATAAAAGAAACATATAAACGAGAGAATTATTCAAAAGTGCGACGTTTTATTTGCATGAAAATACGTTGACTTTTCGCGAAATGCGATTCGCTTTCGATCGCGAATTTTATTCGTCGCTTCGTCGCACGCTAACGCAGCCGATCCACCGCTGCGCTGGGCAGCTTTATTCGCAGGGATCAAAGCTGGCTTAATTTTGTCGAGTTGACATAATTTCGTGCAGCGTCAAAAGTTGGATTTATATGAGAATTGTACTGATTCCGATCCCTGCTTATTTTTATATGTAGATATATGTTTTCATTATGTGTGAGTGTATATATATATATATATTTTTTTTTCTTATATTTCATATATAATATACTCTGAAAATTCGTTTAGCTAAACATCGAAATCTAAAAGAAAGGAAATTATCTTGCACGAGACGTTTAGCTACAGGCAAATTGCACTGATATTACCACAAGATCGTTCACTACATGAAAAACATGCACGTCTCTTTCTCCCTAGTCGCGAAAGTAGAAAGGAAAAAGAGATGGGCATGTTCGATTACTTCACGGATAGTTATTTCGCGCGCTTACAAGTCTATCAATCAATTAATTCACTTGTTGACTTAACTATTTCATGTCCGGGCGGAGGTGGGAAAGAGTATGGGGGGATAAAAGTGGAAGCAGAATAATAGGAATACGATTCACCACAGGATTTGACTCAATTCCAATACGCGATTAACTGAGGAGATTGTCACGTCGAGCGAATATCACGTGACACTATCATTTTGTGTGTTTAAGGCTCCTTATATTTCGCCGGTCATGCCGGATTTATGACGTCAAAAGCGAAGAATGATATGTTGACGAAAGTTGCGGCCTATTTCTGAATAAAGATAAATATGAACGAAAGGACATTTGCTTGAGCACACTTGCAAAATTATCTTCAAGGTATCCTTTTCCCTTGATGATCAATAAATAGTCAAATAATAAACTGTGAAATGAGTCTGTTTTTTGTCTGTGCGCATGTTTCATTTCACTATTTGTTATTTGCGACAATCTACTGATCGTCAGAAGAAAAGGATAGTTTTCGGAAAATTTTACAAGTGTTCTCAAGCGATCTCAAGTGTTCTTTTTCGTATTTATTCCGCATTTATTTTTATTTAAAAGTGGCACGCAACTTTCGTCAGCATGTCATTCCTCGCTCTGATGTCACAAATCCAACATGGTCGCGGCGAGATACAGGGAGCTTTAGGTTTCGCATCACTCTTCTTGATTATGATTATGAAAAAAGTCCCTGCTTTAAAATGCTTTTGCTAATCGAAATTAGACCACACAGAAATATATAAAGATTTATTTAAAGATTGCAACTTTTTCTTTAAACGCTTCGAGAGTCGATCATAATTGTTAGGCATACTTGGAATTATTCAGATAATTAACGATAACTGCTATATGTCCCAAATTGCAATTATGTTTACTTCTGATCGCTCAACGCAACGGAGAATAATAAAGTAACTTTCTGTCTCTCACTACGAATTACTTATTTTCATCTTGAAACATTTTGAACACAGTACAGTTTTCTTCTTTATATTGCACGAGCATAGAAAACACGGCTCGAAAGGATATTGTGAAAGTGAGAAAGAGAGAGAACAGAAACAGTTTGATGAAAAAATAATTGATAATCTTATTATATGTTATGTATGAAACGGACTAGGAAGGAAAAAAAGAGGAAAAGCAACATTCCGATCGCGCGGACAGAACTGCGATTTTGCTCACAAACACAAACATTGATTTGATCCTCTTCAGGAGCTCATTTTCTCAACATAGTCCGTATGATGAGATTTCTGGCGTAGAGTAAAATCCGATTACCGTTGTTCGATTAGACGAGCAATTGATCGTCAGTATAACGATTGTGACGAGTGTAAACTGTACGATTTTCAACGGTCAGACCGATCTTAATTAATTCACCATTAATCAACTCGATTTAGATAGCTTCGGACCGAGGGAATGAGTCCAAAAAGAGAGGAAGGCAAGGTGTCTTTCTTGAAATTTATCTATATTATCCAGATGGCCTTGACTTGATGTCACGTTTACGTAAGAAACGAAATTCGACGGTATTTGGATTGATACGAAACTCTTGAATATATAAGCTCGCAGTGTATCCTATTGTCACAATTATTCCAATCGATCGCGAGAGAAAGGATCAAACCGACGTTTGCGTCATGGAGCTATTTCCTAAATGAGGTTGAAGTAATCCCTCCGCAGACATTCGATTATCTTTGGTACGTTTCAGGAGGTAGATAATATAGAATTCTCTCAATCTCGTACACACGAGCTTGATCCTACGGAACACGTCTCATATTGCGCTCGACTCGTAAGCGCATTTCGTCGGCTCCCTGAAATTCGCGACGGAGGTAAACGGCGGAGAATCGCTCCCTTCTAAAACCGAAAAGAGGAAAATAAAAAAGGAGCGAATTGGCTCGCGTGAACAATGGCTCGCTGGCTCGGAAGGTAAGGAAGGTGAAAGCGTTCTACGAGCGACAGTCGGAGAGATTCGTGCACATTCGTTACATGTGCGACGATAACGTTAGATCGATTCGATAGGAGCTATCGTGACCCGAGCTTTCAAGACTCCATATGACACTATATATGTATACACGTACGCGCGCGCGCGCATACAGCACACACACACACACACACACACACACACACACACACACACACACACACGCACACGCACAATTCAATCTCTATAAATTATAATTTAATACTATACGTAATTATGTACACGTTTGTATCATTAAATGTCGATCGTGCAATATAATTATATAAACATACTGAGAGTGATATTCAATCTTCAGTTTATCGACGTAACTCTTTTATCGGAATTCTCATTTATTCGCCGTTATTACGATGATTGAGATCGAATAATCATGATTATTATAATAAAAATCGTACGATAGGAAAATATCGCGGAAAATTACATTATATTTATCCAAGTGTCACAGTTACTCCGACTGCGACAGTCCTGACTATGAGGACTGAGAACTTTGTATAGCGCTAAACGCGTAACTCCTTATTTTACTCTAACGGATGTAGATTAAAGCTTATCGCGCACGGGCAATTCATACACGACGTTCGTCGGAAACTGCAATGCGTTTGTCTGGTCCAAGATATGGGTACAATATTGGCGGGACCAGGTTGACCTTCGCGTTACGTTCAGATACTTTGTAGAGAGAGAGATTATCGTTTATGTAAATGCTATATCGTACAAGTTAGAAGAACAATTGATCAATAAATCATCGCACTAGTCGATCGTAACGACCGATCGTCCGGCTCAACATTGAATAAATTTCTTAATGCGTTCTTAAGATCTACGTGCTTTCACGGAAAAGTATACCTATGAATTTACGCGTATCTACATGATATGAAGCTTTGAAAGCTCACTCGAGCGTCACGAGAGACTTCGTCTCGTAATCGATGTGTACAACATTTGACAAAATAATGTTTGTTTTACTTATCCGTTTCTTTATATTACGGCAGAAAGCAGCGGTTTGCCGTGACATCCGAGAGTCTCATTGACGTTCTGATGACACGATGCACACATCCACTCTTTGTCGATAGAGAAAGCTAATGATAGTCCAAGGGAGAGTGACAGAGACATTAGCGAGCCATCATCCGGGTCAATTATGAGGGAGCATCAACGCATTAAAAACTACAAGATATCGCGGACTGCAAAATATGCGTGAAAACGAGCGCGACGAGAGCACCGGTGACCGATAATAAATAAATAAATAAATAAATAAATCAAAAATATGATACATTTATACTGTAAATCGATGTAGCGCGATGCAAAAACAGTCTGACCGGTATATATGACGAATAAATGATTTCCCGTGCGACATTTCAAAATAAAAAAAGAAATGCCGAATCTTCCGGTAATTTGGAAGATAAGCGCAATATGCCTTCGGCGACTAAAGATTCGATCAACATGTGCTTTGCACGCGCGCTGCCGACATGCGTAGAACTGACTCCAACTCGCTCTACGCGTAGCGCGCGTTCGTCGATGAAATCAACTGTCCTTCGGTTCTCGTGTCCGAAGGAAGAATTCGGCCATTTTGCGACAAAGTGAAAGAGAGATCTAACGGCTAAGGCATGAGTGCGCTACGTAATTATTATTGATGCTGGTTCTCGTCGTTCTCCTCCTGCGATATGATGCTCGACCTGTTGGATCGCACATCGAGATCCATGGCGAAAGGTTTCGTCGAGTTGCCGAGGAGCGCCTGCGTGCTCTGACCATCGTCTATGCTCAGACTGCACTCCAGCGAGCTGTCACTGAAAGTACAGAAACAGATTTCTACTCATCACTAGCGCCTTCGCGAATCGCCCCCGGCGGCACACATGGTTGGCGCGCGCGCGACAATTGGCATCCGGGCGCGTTTACCTGACGATACTGGCGCGGTCGACGGAGCTGCCGGTCGGCGCCGTACAGTTCTCGCCGTTGCACGGCCGCTCACCGTTGCTGCTGCACGAGGAAGTCCTGGTGCTGGTGGCCGCGGTGCTGGTGGCAGTGGCGATTGTAGTTGCGGTTGCGGTTGCGGTAGTGGTAGCCGCCACCTCCACCGCCTCCCGCATGGACGCTCGTCTAGACTCCTCGTGGCACTCGCACTTGCACTCCTCCGGTTGTACGTAGCTGTAGCTACCGGCACCCTTTGCGATCTCGTCTTCGGGTCGCGGTATCGTCTGTATCCTTTTTGGCGCCTTTCGCTTCTCCGGTATCTCTTCAAAGTTGATCCAATTGCTCGGTCGTACCGCGGGTGCTCTCGGTGGCAGTGGAGGTGGACTCGGTGATTTGCCTTGGGCAGCAGCCTTACGACCTCCGTCCGGCGGCACCTTACCCGCAAACTCCGTGAACGTGTTCGTCGCGTGTCGGCGCGGGCTCTTGAGCTTGAAGCTGTCCTCTCGCGGCAAAGAGATCTTCATTCTCTCAACGCGCCGCTCGTCCAGAGACGTCTGCATCACGAACTCGTCCAGCAGAGTAGGGTTTATCGGCGTCGTCGAGCGCGGTCTCTCGATCGGTATCGTCCTGACGATTATAGTTACGTAAACGTCGGACGTTAATTCGATTTGAAATGAATGTTTGTGCATGTGTAAAAGTATCAGAGTGCAGCTCTTTTAATTATTCATACAAGCCATTAATCTTTAACGGAAAGCTACAAGTTGAAACAACGCGGTATCTCTCGTCTCTGAAGGAATTACCTTACTTCCTGAAGTCGTTGTTTAACAGGCAGGATTGGTACAGCAACGCTCTTCTCCAACGGTAAGGTCGTCGGCACGTACGGAAGATCCTCCTCGAAACTTTCCTCGTAAAAGAGACCCTTTCTCTCGTCGGGTAGCTCCTCCGCCATCTTCTCGACCTTGTTTCGAATAAATTCGATCTCTGAATCTCTCTCCGATTCCGAGCTGTTATGGTCCAGATCGGATATCATACTGGAGGTCTTTACAAGACCGTCCTGCTGCGACTTGCCTATTTTATTGTCGTCGAGCAGATCGGACTTGTTAGCTTCTGCAGTCGATGGAACTTCTCTCGATTTCTTTTGCTGCGATTTCGTGTCGTCGTCCTCTCGAATTCTCTCGGATGATTCGTGCTGCTGCTGCTGCTGCTGACTCTCTCTGCTTTTTCTTTTCGGCTTCGTTATGTCCGGTTTCTTGCCGCCGGAATCCTTGAATGTGCCGCTTGGCAGCCGCGATTCCGCAGATTTCATCTCTGTCGAGCTCGACGACTTTGCCGGTGTCACCACCGCCGGTTTCGCCGCCGGTGTCGACGGTTTCGTCGGGATCGACGGTTTCGCCGGGGTCGACGGTTTCGCCGGGGTCGATGGTTTCGCCGGGATCGACGGTTTCGCTGTGATCGACGACTTGATCGGAGTCGACGACTTCGCCGGAGTCGACGATTTCGCCGGAGTCGAAATTTTCGCCGAGGTTGGCGACTTCGTCGGGGTCGACGACTTCACTGAAGTCAACGTTTTCGTCGGTGGTGTCTCAACCACTTTATTAGCCTGAACACTAATCTTCGAATCTCTCGATGAACTCTTGGACAGCTGAGAATCCTTGGACGCGCTTTGCGGCAGCTGGCTATCTCTGAAAGAACTCCTGGATATGGTCTCGATTTGTGCTTCGGTTCTGATCTTGGCGACAGGTGCCGGATGATGCTCAATCGACACCTCCGTGATTATGCTTCCCGTACGCGGCTCGGATTCGTATTCGTCCAGCAATTTGGTCGGCGTCTCCAACGGTATCGACACGCTCTCCGATGGCAAAGCCTCCTCATAGTTTCTATTGTCTGCGTGCAAACTGATGAATATCGAGTCATCCTGTCGACGTTCCTTCTCGGTATTGAACGTAAACTCCACGTGGCCGATGCTTTCTAGGGACGGCTGTTCGCCGCTGGGCGCGTCGAGATCGCACGAAGCCGCGATCGCTTCGTCATAGCTCTTCTTCCTCTCACGTTTCTTGAACAAGCTCAAAGTGGACGAGAACACACCCTTGTTCTTGGAGTCTTTCTTTAGACTCGAACTCTTGTCGGCCGACACTCTCTCGCGCGATTTCGAGCGGCTCCTCAGACTTTCCGTGGTGTCCCTCAGTTTTGACGTTAGACTCCGCCGTGGTTTCGTGCTAGGCGATGGCGATTCTGGGCTCAATATACTGCCGTCGGTTTTCGCCTAGGTTTAATCGCGAGTAAGGTTAACTACGTGATCGTCACAACTCGGAGGGGCGAAAAAGTGATGCAAAGTGATGTAAAGTGATGTTCACGTTACCTTGAACAACGAAGCGAAGCTACTCTTTCTGGATACGGACGACGGACTGGGCGTTCGCGAGCCTTCGAGGTCCCGCACTTTTTGGTGTCTCGGTAACTTGGGACTTCCGCTCACGCTGCCCGTCGTAGGCGTCGTCTGTACGATCTCCTTGAAGTTCTGAGCTTTCTTCCTTTTGTCGTTGAAGTCGAGTGTCGCGGGTTTTTGAACTTCTTGTACCTGAGCCTTCGTTGAGAACTGCTGCAGTGTCGATGGTCCTTGTTGTTCGCTAGGTTTCTTTATGATGGGTACCTGTTCCGACATGGAGACGCAAATATTTTTTTCATTCGGCGCATCTCGCGGGAAATGCTCGCTTTGTCTCCACTAGTGAAGACGAGGAATGAAAAGCAAGAACAATGACTGACGAACAACTAGACCAACCTCTATGTTAACTTTCTCCAGGAATCTCTTGGTAATTTCCACCTCTCGCTTGAAGATCTCCTTCCTCTCCTCGCGACCACGTCTCCTGGGCTTGTCCAGCGGATCCGGCTTCAGGTTGCCACCCACCATCGACACCTTGATGCTCTCGGGGATCAGTGCTTTCGTAGTGTCGGCTTCCCGTTTCAAGAGTATTTTCTCGAGATCATCGGTCTCCGGCTTCGACGGCTCTATCAAGTTGTCGGCGAGCGTCGGTTTGCTACCGCAGAACGATGTCTCCAGTAAACACTTGTGCGGACTGGGCGATCTGGAGGGACACACAAATCGGTGTACGTGAGTGGGACTCTTCGCTCGCAACGCTCGATAAATCATGCGTTCTAAGACTGATTTCCAGCCAGAGAAGCCCGAGAGACGTCGGTCCTATTTATCGACGAGAGCCAAGAAGAGACATAACACACAGGTCCTTCTTTCTCAAATGAAAATTCTCACCTTCTGTCTGCATCAAAATTAGACTTATCCTCGTTCATCAATACCGAGGATTCAAAGGGAATCGTCGGGGAATCAAACTTCAAAAGTGTCAATGAACAACAGCTTTATTTTCCCAGTTAATCTGTTGAGGACTTGAGCGGCACAACAAGACTCTTAATTCGACGTTTAATCGCAATGTAATCGAAGTAGATGTGGTCGAAAAGTCTCGAAAGATCTCAGGGATGGGCAGCAGAGTCGGCTGAAACTTCTGGGCAAAGACTCGGCAATTCGATTCGGAATCTCTCGGAGAACGAAGTCTTGCTAGTGGTGACAACTACATGTGTATATGTATGTTTCTCTTTCTAACATTCCACATGTACCTGGAGGAAGTCGCCGACACAACCGAGAGCTTCCCGGAGACGCCGGAGCCTTGGCTGCCGACCGACGACAGCCTGGACGTTCTGCCGCTGATGTTGAGCAAGCATATCTCCGAGCAATTGCTGTCCTTGCGCTCGCGGTCCTGCTGCTGCTGCTGTTGCTTGCCGCTGTAATCTGACTGGGATCCGTCGTCCTTGCGCTTGCGCGCCAACTTCTTGGACTCCCGTCTAAGATCCTGTTCGTGGACGGGATCCTGCAAGTCCAACTCCTCCGTGGAGGATCTGAGGTCTTGGGCGTCCTCTTTGTAACCCAAGGTAAGCTTGCAGCCGGGCGGAGGATCCGCACCTACAATCCACATTGGATCTTCGTCTTTACTCGTGTCGTTCTTTCACACGTGGCGGTCGTGTCCTGCCTAAAGAGTCTACGCGGAGTCTCCTAAACGTTCTGTACTTAAAATTTACAGTCAATGTTTCTTCTCTTGCGCACTATTATGTCATCTAATTGTTCTTCTAACGTTCGGACGAGTTTTGTATCGTGTAATCTGTCTGCAAAGTGTGTGCGAGCGCGAATGTCATACTATCCGGACGAATATTCTATTTGTACGATGTTATCAACAATATCGTGAGCAATATCGTTTCAAGCACGTTCGATTTCAACTACGTGAGATATGACGCTAATTACTATACCGCACGGTATTCATATATTCGCGGGCAATCTACTCTTCCTCTTCCATAAAAAAAACCCATTTAACAATTCTCCAGAGAGTCGACAGAATCGATTTAATGGATTTCTGCAGAAGGAGACTGAGTGTGTCGTACGGACAGACTTTGGAGTTATGCGAAATAGAGAAGCTTTAAGCAGAAAAGTCTTGGACTCGAACGGGCTCATTTGCACGGCGTGTGTCATGCAAGACTCACTGAATAATCGAGGTGTGCGATCAGCGCGGACCGTTTAGAGCCGTCTTAGAGTTCTGAATCGATCAGGACCTTGACCCGTAGAATTTTTTTCCGGAAGTCATTCAAAATATGTATATGTCAGTTTGTGCACGCGAAGCGCAAACTTCTCCTCGTACTACCTACTGAACTATAACCGATTACGCCCTAGCTACTACGTGTATTCGATTACGTACAATTAATAATATGTATTGTGCCCGTATTGAGCAATTAACAATAAAATCGCACTTTGACGGGAACACAGGGTTTGTCACACAAATTAATAACGCTCGCTTCTTTATTACTACGCTCTCGTTATTTATTCTCGCTATCGCTATTAGCTAATTGCGCGTGTCTCACTAACTACAGATTACATATCGCTACCTACATGTTGGAAGCGTATTTGCTTTTGTATCTTGATATTAATATACGACTTTTGACGAGAACGTATCTTCTACACAGGAATGACATTTAGTTGATCTTAAAGAAAAATTACTTGTTATTATTAATCACGAAAACTATTCCGAGACTATTACCTGTGGAAAGTTTTCGACCAACTTGACATATCGATACGCCGTCTCCTAATTCAATAAATATCGTGTTGTTGATGTATATGTTATGTAAATACGTGTATCTTTTTAGCGTGTCAATTAGTTGCTACGTTTAATTAGTTGCTATTAATTTTGAAATGTGTAATTTGTAGTATGATTTGTTCGTATCGGCATCACTAAGATTAAGAATTTCCACCTACGTCTAAAAAGAAAAAAAGGCACGTGCACCGAGGCGTGGATGATAATTTATAAAGTGCGATCACCTGCGAGAAGCTCCCGCTCGGGTGACGAGTCTCTGGAATTACTATCTTCATGGTGCGAGGAGCTGCTCGCCCGACTGATGTCAATTCGCGGCGTGCTAGGCGTCTTAAGCGAACTGCCAGGCGTAGCCGGTGTGGTGACCTCGACGATGCCCGGCATTCGCCCCGCCGCCGATTCTCCCTGCATTCAAATTCGTACCCTGGTTTGTTGTGGGTCGTCACAGTGACGGGGTTGATTGGTTGGTTGGTTGGTTGGTTGGTTGGTTGATTGGTTGGTTGGTTGGTTGATTGACTGATTGGTTGGTTGATTGATTGGTTGGTTGGTGGACTCAGGTCGCGGGCCAGCCTCTCGTAATGTGACACGGGACTCACGGACGACACGTGGGACCAATTGACAACATCCTAGTTCAGAGTCACGCGGGGATCGATCGAGATTGTACACGCGCGTCGAGATCCTCGACGTAGGCGCGAGTAAGACAGAGAGAGCGTGATAAATAGAGAGAGAGAGGGGGGAGGGAGAGATAGATAGATAGATAGATAGATAGATAGATAGATAGATAGATAGATAGATAGATAGATAGATAGATAG